ATATGAGCCCATATGTCTAATACTAGTCCATAAATTCCTCTTTAGACTCATGCAGCACATGCCATGATGCTGGAAGATCAGAAGCCAGGGGGTGGAAAGTCTTGTGGATCCAGTGGTGGTGGAAGCATCTCAACACCTGCGCGGGTCTCCACGGGTCTCCTCCAACTCTTTGAATGTCTCAACAGCAGGAAAGGGAAGGCAGAGAGAATGGGTCTAGCTTCCAGTGAGCTACTTATCTCCAACGTGCCTCCAAATGAGGTCATCAAGCTGAGACCTGATTGACAGACTAGACTCCACCCCTTCACTCAAGTTGACAGGAGATTATGTAACTGACATAGATGGATGAAATCACGCCATCATCACTGCTTCAGAGCATGCTGGCTGTACTTCTGAGAAAGATTTGTTGCTAGTAAAGGAACAGCTCAGACATTTTATAACCTATCTTGATATTCTACAACATGTTGGTGCAAACATTTACCTTAGATTCTAAGAACTCTGAAATCTTGGAGGTCATGTCCTTGAAGAGGTGACGGAAAATAGATGGTTATTTTAATAAAGGAGTGTTATTTCAGAGGGTACAGAAAAGATGCATGGCAGACTTTACTGGTAGTATCAGATCAGATTAAACTACAACAGGAAATCCCCAAACACATGACCTCAACATGTACCTTTCACATAGATTTCTTAACATTGTGCTGTAAATAGCTTTTTTAATTGATGTTTTGTTAGGTGCCATTGACTCAGTTTTGATCATAGTGACCCTAGGAGTCACTATGATCAAGACACTGTCTGGTCCTGTGCCACTCTTCCAGTTGTCCTTATATTTGAGCCCATTGTGTCACCGGCTATGTCGATCCATTTTGTTGAGGGCCATCCTCGTTTTGCTGCCTCTCTACTTACCAAGCATGTTGTCCTTCTCCAAGGACTGGTCTCTCCTGACAGCATGTCCAAAGTACATGACATGAAGTATTGCCATCCTTGTCTTTAAGGGTCTTTCTGGTTATATTTCTTCTAAGACAAGATTTGTTTGTGCTTTTGGCAGTCCCTTGTACTTTCAATATTCTTCCCCAGCACCATAATTCAAACATCAACTTCTCCATGGTCTTCCTTATTCCATGGCCAACTTTCACATGCATCTGAGACAATTTGAAAACACCATAGCTTGGTCAGGTGCACCTTAGTTCTCAAAGGGATATCCTTGCTTTTCAACACTTTAAAAGAGATCTTGTGCAGCAGATTTATGTGCTGCAAAATGTGACTTTTGATCTCTTGACTACTACTTCCATGACCATTGATTATGGATCGAAGCAAGACAAAATCTTTGACAACTTCAATCTTTATTCCGTTTATCATGATGTGACCTATCAGTTGTGAGGATATTTGTTTTTTTTTTTTTTACATTGAGTAGTAATCCATGTGGAAGGATGCAGTTCCTCGCTCTTCATCAGCAAGTACTTCAAGTCCTTCTCATTTGTGTCATTTGCATATTGCAGGTTGTTAATAAGCCTTCCTCCAACCCTGTTGCCAAATTCTTCATATAGTCCAGCTTCTCTGATTATTTGCTCAGCAAACAGATTGAATAAGTTTGGTGAGAGGATACAACCCTGACTCACACCTTTCCTGATTTGAAACCATGTTCTGTTCACACAACAGCATCTTGATCTATGTATAAATTCTGCATGAGCACAATGAAGTTTTGAATTGATATCATATAGTGATATTTCTAAAATAGCCTCTTTATTTCCATTGATATTCTTATATTTCATTGGTCTCTACAAATTTAATAATATATAAACTCTAAGTCTATTCAAAGGAGTCTTTCTCTTGGTTGTACATGGTGTGGTTTTGGACTTGACCATGTCTGCCCCTATGACTGCTGCTCCTGGAGGGCCAGACACCGAAGGGAGCTCAAAGCTCTACATGTTTGCATTTGCTTTCACTGCTCGCAGCTGTTCTCAACCTACGGGTCGCAACCCCTTTGAGGGGAGAACGACCCTTTCACAGGGGTCACCCGATTCATAGCAGTAGCAAAATTACAGTTATGAAGTAGCAACGAAAATAATTTTACGGTTGGGGGGTCACCACTACATGAGGAACTGTATGAAAGGGTTATGGCGTGAGGAAGGTTGAGAACCACTGCGTTCAGGCAGCGAAAGCCTTTTCAGCTAAATTCTTAGAAATGCTACAATTTACTTCTTTCCGGGAATGGGTCTGTAAATCTTAAGTGGGTCCCACTTAAGATGAAATCTTTCATAAGTAGATCGGTTACATTGTTCTTTGCCTTCAACCGCCTTCTTTCTTTTTAGAAGCTCAAATAACAATGTCTCAATCGCCCAGTCAGCTATTGAAATTCGATTCGATCTCTAAATCTAGTTAATTAATTGCGAAAAAGCACACATTTCCAAGTCGCTGTTTTGGATCAGGGGTCTTCCTTCCTCCTGGGAGGAGACAGGAGCGTTTCCAGGTCTAGTAAAGCCCAGCTAAGATACCCCGTCTTGCGCAACCCCTCGAGGTCCCGCCCCTCACTGCTCCCCGCCCACTTCCGGACTCACACCACCGGGGTGCGGGCCGCGGGCGCGGGCGGAAGTGACGCTGGTGCGTTGCGCGACACCCGGGAGAGTGAAGCAGTGTCGTGAAGCGGGACCTGGGCCCAGGCAGGCGCCGCGATGTCGATCGAAATCGAGTCCTCGGAGTGAGTCTTTCGGCGGCGAGTGTTCGCGCGCTGGCGGGGCCGGCGGTGGAGGGTGATGTGGAGGGGGCGTCGGAGAGGCTGGGGCGCCCTGGCGTTTCCTCGTTCCCGACGCTGCTGCCTGCAGCTCGGTCCTGGGGGCGGGCCGGCCGGGAAGAAGCCCCGAGCCGAGGGTTCAGAAGGCTCAGGGCTGAGGGGAGCCCCGCGCTCCTAGCCCCCGCGGCGACTCCAGCTGGGACTCTGAGCAAAGGTCGGCTCTCTCTGGACCCCACTCGAATGATCTGTTCTAGGGGAGCCGAGGATGTGCTCTCTACGCCTTTTTCTTCCCTACTCCCCAACCCCAAGCAGAAGACTCATTTCCTCTCGGTTACATGCTCTCCAGCTCCCCTGCCCCGCACTCGGCATCTTTCAGTCTTGTAATCGTTGGCCCAGCCTCTAACCTGTGAAGGCAATAGGGGCTCTTTTACTGATAATCCCAGTGCTTAGCTCTACGGCGTCGAGCCTCACTTTCAGGGATAAATGGATAGCTATTTTCACCAGCTTCTTACTGGTCCAGAACTGTGGCTCGTCTGTGAGCTATGTGTACCCACATAGAAGAGTCAGACTCCGGAGAACGCTAGGCTAGGGGTGGATGGGAACTACTGAGCGATTACAATGAAAAGTCTGTGGTGGATTTCTCCAGGACTGCACCTGCCCTTTCCAGCACTCAGTAGTTAAGTCATCAGGCATAACGTGAGTGCCTGTAGTGTGAGGGAGAGAAGGCTGCCCCTGAAGACGTGTCATAGGCGGAAGGGAGGTTTATTCATTCAATACATAATGAAGTGTGTGTGTGTGTGTGTGTGTGTGTGTGTGCCAGTTGGCTGTTTCAGATGCTGGGAACACCACCAAACCATCAAATTCAATGCCATTGAGTCAATTCCGACTTAAGGCGACCTTGTAGGACAGGGTAGAACTGCCCCCTGTGGAATATAGGTAGCCTCTAACTCTTTATAGGAGTGGGATGCTTCATCTTTCTCCCGAGGAGCAGCTGGTGGTTTCAAACTGCAGACCTTGAGATTAGCAGCCCCAACACCGGAGTCTGCTAGGTCACCAGGGTGCCTACTGGAAACACAACAACAAGCGAAGTAGACAAAATCCCAGCGAGAATGTCAAAGGAGGCTGTAAAGAGCTCCTGGAAAAATCTCATCATTTTAAAATTCTCTTTTCCAAATGCTTTTGGAAGCTCCCATGTATGTTGTGATTGGGGAAGACACACAACAGACAAAAAAAGTAATAACTCAGAGATGAAGCTTAACATGTTGCAAAGTGCAGTGGAGGCAAGAAAAGAGGCCAAAGTAGGTGAGACGGAGTGCTAGAAGTCCAGGCAGGAGTTGGGATTGACTGACGGGGTGTTTGGGGGCCTGGGTGCACATAGACATTGACCATTCTTCAGCCTTGGCACTCTGGCTGGCAGCAAAGGCTGCTGCACGTTTTCATTATCTGTAATCAAAGCTCAGCACTGCCATCCAGTCAGTTCCAACTCAGAATGATAACTATTATTTTTTTACTAAGCATTTTCTGGGCTTGGCGCTCTGTAAGAAATAGTGCCAATACTTTCAACAACCTTACAGGCGAGATTTTGTTTTGTGTTGTTTTAACAGGTGAGGAGCTAGTAAGTGAGCACTTCTTAAGGGGGTCATGAGAGATGGCTTTTAAATAGAGCTGCAAGTGATAGCAGTCACTTCCGTTTTGCAGAAATTTATAGGAAGAGGGTAGTTGCTTTCATGTGAGGAGATGTATTTTCAAGGGGCAGGCTGCCAGATTTAAATCCTTGTTAAGGCGGGTAATAGTAATTGTGTTAGTCTAGGTGACTAGAGAAATTCATAGACACTCCTGTGTATAAGAAAGAGCTTTATATAAAGAGTAATTGTATATTAAGAAAACATCCTAGCCCAGTCCAGATCAAATCCATAAATCCGATATTAGCCCATATGTCCGATACCATTCTATACATTCCTCTTCAGATGCATACAGCACATGCAATGACACTGAATGCAGGAAGATCACAGGCCAGTGGGTGGAAAGCCTTGTGTATCTAGTGGCAGTGAAAGCATCTCGGCACTTGCGTGGGTCTCCACGTGGCTCCTCCAGCTTCAGGGCTCTGGCTCCATCAGCATAGCTTCATGTGGCTTGTCAACAGGAATGTCTCACAGCAAGTGTGTATCCCACCTCCAGGGAGGAAGACAGGAGTTCCCAGAATCCTCAGGAGAAGGCCATACCCACACAGAGGCCTCGTTGACAGGGTAGACTCCACCGCCTGGCAAGTTAACAGACTATGTAAATGCCACAGTAATAAACTGATAGGTTGTTTTGAGGAGTAAATGAATAAATGTTTAAAATGTGAAGAACATCATCTAGTATATAGTAAAACATATCATAAACATTAGCTATGTTTATGATGGTTTTTCTCCCCTCAGGAAGGGAATTGATGAAATTCCCAACCGAAATTCTTCCCAAGCCAGGGGTCTGGTCCTCTCTACAAATGTGGCCTATTAGAAATGTACTGGAAGGCACATAGTACTTTAAGATTTTCTTAACCCCCACATATTAAAAAGTAGAGAAAAGACAGCTGATAACAATTTAATAATGTATTTTATTTACCAACATATATGATATTAAAATGTCATCAATATAAAATTATTGAGCTTGTTAACTTTTTTTACCAAGTCTTCCATATCTATGTGTATCTTATACTAGTAGCACGTTGCAATTTGATTTCTCAGTTCCTAAAGGAAATACTTGATGTGTTTAGAGTTCATTAAATTTACGTTGTTTCACACACATTTAAAGGTCTTGAACTACTGACTAAAGCATCAGTTTTCTGAAGTAAAATGAAAAACTCAGCCCTTCAGTTCCTGGAGCCATATTTCAAGTGGTTAGTGGTTACTGTATCAGCCTGACACCAGCAGTCGTTGTACCAGGGAAAGCAGAGGTGGGGCCTTGCAAGGAGGTGTTACAACACACCGGCCATTGGTGAGGAGCAGAGAGAGAAAAGGAAAGGGAGGGATTTTTGTCACAGTGTCATCCAGTGAGCTTGTACAGTCGCTCATATAACCTCTCAGCCAAGGGCCGGCAAACTGAGATGGCGGAGCCGATCCTGTCCCTCACAACAATTTAAAAATTATTTGAGAGCCCTAAATAATCTGTTTTTACTACCAAATTAAATCATTATGATCGGAATAAGATCCTTTAAATTTTTTCAGTTTTACTTATGTACATAGGGCTCTCGAGTTGCAGTTTCCTGACCCCGGCTCCAAGTGAGCTGATTCTTCACTAGACGCCATGGGACTGTGCCCCAGATCAAGAAACGTAACCACCGTCGACGTCACTGTTTCCAGACACGTGCAGAGAAGGGCTTGCTGAGTCTCACACTATTTGGAAATTGCCCTTAAGTAGCAGAGTCTACACTCTGTTTCACTTGTCCTGGAGGCTTGGTAATAAAGGCAGTAGGGAAGTGTCATTTTTGCAAATGAAGAGGCATCACTTTTTGTTTTGCTTTTACAGCACCCACTGCCAAACTTACTCTCATCGAGTTAATTCCAAATCACAGTGACCCTGGGTGGGTTTTCAAATCTGTAAATCTACAAGAGCAAGCAGCTTCATTGCTCTCCCGCAGAGTGGCTGGTGGGTTTGAATGGCCAAGTTTGCAGTTAGCAGCGTAACTCTTACCTAATAGCATCCATCAGGGCTCAGCGCAACTTAATTTGTGTTCAATAAATACTCCTTGAGAAAGTGTCGATTTATTATTATTATTATTGGTTGCCATCTAAAGAATGAATTGAATTATATTGGAGTCGTTTAGGTTATCTTTTTGTCAATGGCTAGGCTATGTTTAAATTGTTTCAATAAACCGTATAGCAATAATTGTAAAGATTAGTAAGAAACTGACAGTGAAATTACCTCTGACACCTCACTGCCATTGAGTCAATGTCCACTCATAGCAACCCTGTAGGACAGGGCCGACCTGCCGTTGGGGTTTCCAAGACTCACTCTTCATAGGAGTAGAAACCCCATCTCTCTCCTGTGGCGCTGCTGGTGGTTTCCAGTGGCTGACGTTGCAGTTTGCAGCCCAGTGCAAACCCACGATGCCACCAGGGTTTTATTTTCCAAGCTGGTTGTCAGACACTGGGCAATTGATTTTCCTTCTCTGAAGAATGGGATGGGACCCCCACGGTCCCTTTTAGCTCAGGTTTTGCGATGAGAGCTTTACTTACATGCTGAGGACAGAAAAGTAGGCACAGCAGGAGGGGCTTTCTTTTGTGGCCCCTTGGGGAGTGTGGATCCCAAGCTGATTGACTTGCTTTTTCTTTCCAGTGTGATCCGTCTCATCATGCAGTACCTGAAGGAGAACAGTTTACACCGGGCCTTAGCCACCTTACAGGAGGAAACGACAGTGTCTTTGAATACTGTGGACAGTATTGAGAGTTTTGTGGCTGACATTAATAGCGGTCACTGGGATACGGTTTTACAGGCTATCCAGTCGCTGAAATTGCCAGATAAAACCCTCATTGAGCTCTATGAACAGGTGAGAGTGGTGCTGAGTCTGGTGCCCTGGGGTTGGCTGACGAGGCAGCGTCCATAAGCATTCCTTACAGAGCTCTCTGACTGTCACAGCCTTGCATTTTACCTTGTGAGTCTTGACTGCTCCTTTGCTTTGTTTTGTTTTCCCTCTCTTCTTGGAAAAGTCCAAGATCTTTTCCAAACAAATGATTTTTTTTAACTGATTGTTCAATAAGCAGAGTGGGTTTTCTGGAAACAAGAATGTTGTAAACATAGGGAAGTGGGTGGTTTCTTTCTTTATAACACCATGAGTTCAGTAATTCCCCAAAGCAGAGAAAGGTTTCCTTAGTGCAGCTTTCGTTTTTTGTCAGCATCTGGGTTCTGAACAAAGGACCACACAGGAAGGGAGATTGGTAGGTTAAAAACGAAGGATGGCTAATATTATCATAATAGAAAACCCCCAAAAGACATAGAGGGGCCTTAAATGCATGCTGCTGAAGGATAGAAGTCTGCCTGGAAAAGCGACTTGCGGTATGAGTCTAACTACATGACATTCTGGCAAAAGGTGAAACTATAAAGACAGTTAGAGGCCCATTGTTTGTTAGGGGAGGCGGGAGGCACTGATAAAGTGAGGCAAAGGGCACTTAGGGAACAGCAGAGCATTTCTGTGTCATCAGATAAAGGTGAGAGGTGACATTTGGGCGTTGTCACATCCAATAGAACTGTACATCACAAAGAACAAGCCCTAATATTAGCTGGAATTACGTTTGTGTCTTATTACCCTTGGTACATCAATTTAGCAAATGTGCTACCAGAAAACCAAACTCATTTCCACTGAATTTTTTCTGGCTCATAGGGGCCCTACAGGGCAAGCTAGAACTGCCCCTGTGGGTTTCTGAGATCGTGACTATGGGAGTAGACAGCCGCATCTTTCTCCCAGCTGTACGGCAGCAATGTGAGACAGTGATGGGAGAAACCATAGCCATGGAAAGAAGGGCTTGTGTGCACTCAGTACTTTCTGTGTAATTTTTCTGGAAAACCCAAACTGCTCTAAGTGTAGTTTATTCTTTATTAAAAGAAGAATGGAGGCTGAAAATCTGAAGGAATTAGCACCAATAATTACTTGAATTGCATACCTTAAATTTCTTGTAGTAAGGAGAAAGGACATTTCCCAGTATTGGATATTTCTTTGGCAGGCCATCAGGCCTTGTATTAAAAAAGAAATCTTCATAAGAGAACACGTTGCAATCGCCACTTTCCTTCACTAGGTGGTTCTAGAATTGATAGAGCTCCGTGAATTGGGCGCTGCCAGGTCGCTTCTGAGGCAGACGGACCCGATGATCATGCTGAAACAAACCCAGCCAGAGCGGTATATTCATCTGGAAAACCTCTTGGCCAGGTCCTATTTTGATCCTCGTGAGGTAAGATTGTGGTGGTGAACAGAAACTATGAGCTTTAGATACGTGATCGGGTGATCTTTTCAGCCCGGCCCTGACCCCAGTGAAGACTTCCAGAACAGGGTAGAACAGGTTTCCATTCAGCAGTTCCATCTCCTTGAGTGCAGTCCTTTCAGTGTAACACGGCTTCTCTCACTTCCCCTGTGCTTGTGTTTCCTTTGCACACTTGTAATTTTGGAGAATTGTCTCCATTCCTATACATTGACTGACACTGGCTCTGTCAAGAGGATAATCTTGGCTTCTGAGTAATCGAACGTCTTCTCTCTGTTACAGGGGGCTGTGGGTTAGGAGGTACAAAAGCCACGGTTTACTTGGACTGTTTTCCAAAGGAACAGTGTCATTTGATAGACCATAATCCCTTCCAGCTCATACTTAGTGGACACGAGGGGTCAGATTTGAAAAGTCTACTTTTAAAAATGAAGCTGGTTTAATGACTCTTTCTAGCCAGACCATTTTCAGTCCTATTTTCCTTAGGGAAGGGGCGGGGAGAGAGAGCGTGTGTATGCGTGTGTGTGTTTTCGGTGGAAACACTGCTGTCCTCATGTAAGTGCTGCCCCCTTTCCCGTCTCAGGCATACCCCGATGGAAGCAGCAAAGAGAAGCGAAGAGCAGCAATTGCCCAGGCCCTAGCTGGAGAAGTCAGCGTGGTTCCCCCATCTCGTCTTATGGCATTACTGGGACAGGTGATTACGTGCTGTTGCAAAGGAAATGACCCTGAACTCCTCATACTGATCCCTTTATGTAGCTTTACGGGGCTGGGGAGGGGGACCTTTCAAAAGTTCATGGAAGAATCTCATTGTGTTTCCATTTATTTTCCGCCAACTTTTTGAAGCTCCCTCATGGACATACATATATAAGTTAACCTAAACCTCTGTCTCCCCTGGAAGACGCAGCATAACTGAAGTGGCTAATAGCAGAAGGTTTAGAGCAGCGGTTCTCAACCTGTGGGTCGAGACCCCTTTGGGGGTCGAAAGACCCTTTCACAGGGGTCACCCGATTCATAACAGTAGCAAAATTACAGTGATGAAGTAGCAACGAAAATAATT